TGTTTAAATTGTTGGCTAAATAATTCACATATCTCTGTATATCATGTATCTATCTAGCTGGATCCGCCACTGGTGCTGTAGTCTTTAGTGAAGTTAGATATTTATACTTTTGGTCTTTGTGTTTTTTCAATTACAAAAGACAACTACCACTAACATTTAAGTTGTCATCATTGATGAATTGTCACAAAATTTGCTTATGTATGTATGTATGTCTCTGGGTATGTATATGTGAGTATATGTATATTTGTGTGTGTATGTTTATGTGTGTGTGTTGTACATTTGTTAGTATTCCCGTCAGTATAATTGTGCATCTTTTTCTTTCATGTAATGGGAATGATTATAATAATGTGGAAATGATAGCTGTTTTAAATTATTATATTAATTTTTAAGTTATTTTTAACCTGATAATAAAGGGGTGATGTTATGAATCTGTATAGTACACTGGGATTTAAAGTCATGCAATATCTTTTTCTTCAGCCTTGATTTATAGATTTAAGTTTTTGTATTGATTTCACTATTTTTGGATAGAAGTAGATATAAACTATATTTTGAATTTTTAACTCTTATTTTTTTTAGAGTATGTGATTCAGTGTTAGTTTTATTTTAGTCATTTTTAAGAGTGGTAATACTAGACCTCTTTATGGAAGTTTTCATTATCTTTTGGTTTGTTTGTTTCATTTTTTAGGCCTCCTGATGAACTGCCGAAGCAGATCTATGAAAATGTCCCTCCGGCTGTGAAAGAGAAGAAAACCAAATCTGCCCTGCTGTCCCCAACCACTCCAACGTCCCCTACCTTCCCCCCCAACCCCCTGGGCTTTCCTTCACCGTCTCCAGGGGCTTCCATCTCCTTCCCTCCTCCCCCTCCTCCCCCAGCCGCACCTCGCCCATCTGTGCCGCCCCGTGCCACCTGACAGGAGAACTTAGAGTAGAAAAGATGACTCCCATTCGTGTCCGGTCATTCATGCGGGTCGATTCTGTTGGTTTCTATTTTTAGTCATTGTCATTAATTTACAGACTTTTTTTTATTTATATTATCACATTACTATTATTACTTATGATTAGAGTTATTATCATTGCTATCATTAATGATATTATAATTATTTAGATTATTATTATTATTATTGTTATTATTATTAATATTATTATCAATATTATTGTTTTCATCTCCTTTTTTAGGTCAAGATTACAAACTATGTGAAAACTTGGTTACAAGAAATGGATGTCCCACATTTGATTTAATATATAAAAAAGCTTTCTGCTCTTGAATTTATCAAGTAGAAAGCTGATAAAATATATACCATCCATAAATTTCAGAAAAAAAATTGTATACACAAGTAGGGACTGAGTGGGATAGTGATGACCCCTCCCCTTTCAGTCAGTATGCAGATTATGTAACTAGTCAAATGCATTTTCTGCCATTGCAATATGTATGATCCTGTTAAATGTACCCCCATCCACCCCCACCCCCCACCCACCCAAAAAAAAAAAAAAATGGGCCCACACATTTGATAATTACTGGATTGCAACAGTTTTTTTTCCTCATATTCCTTCCTTCCTTTCCCCTGCTCTCATGCTGTTATATAACTGTCTCAGAGTTTCATTGGAACCCTATTAGTCTTTACTCATAAAAATATACACAAATCTGTTAATGAAGAGCACTGTTCTCCAATGTGATTTTTACAAATCTTTTTGTATACATTCCAATCCATTGTGTTTGTCTTTTTGTTTACATTTTTTTTTTCAACTGTACCTAGTGAAAAGTTGGGCCAGTGGTTGTGAATCACCCCTTTATCACCTGCATACATTATTCCAAAATGTATTAAGTCAGTAGAATTACCACTTATTAAAAAAAAAGATCTAGCAGACTGGTCCTCACTAAGCATAGTTGGAATATGCAATCAGATGAAGTGGATCTCTTATGATTTTCCTTTCAAGCACTGTCCATTGAGTTAGTGGCTCTGAGATCTCTCTCCTTTGCAGGCCTGTGCACACTTCATGATATGCTCCAAAAACGCCAAGGGAGCAATTACACTGTCATGCACTTTTCCCACCCTTCCTCATCACTAGCAGAGTGTTATATAAATGATGATTGCATTAACATCTTTTAAGAAAATTCAGGTCAACTGGACAGTGATGTTCTTGTGTTTCTGCACATTTTGAGTGTGCTCAAAAGTTGAATTTTTAGATTTGTCAGTTTTATATGCAGGTTATTGCATTTATTAAAAATATATTGGAGATGATAACAAGCAAGTTCTGGTCATATTTGAAGTGCACAAGGTGAGGACTCTCCTTTTCATGATAACCTTGATCTCAGTATGACTAGCAGTAGCATATCAAGCTATATAATTTTGTTCATCAAAGTTTCATTTGCTATTGTATCTTTAAATGAAAAAGAAAGTAGCTAGAGTGAAGAGTACATTTTTACTCCTCTAGGTGAGGTCAAAACATTTAGTGTAATTCTGAAAACTTGACTTTCCCTCTGTACACAGCAGACATTTTAATATGTACCTAAATCAAATGGATGTCTAAATATAGTGATGTATGAATACACAGTATTCATTTTGATGGAGAAGTAGCTGTGATACCTGATTTCAAGAACTTTTTTTTTTTCTTTTTTTTTCTTTTTTCTTTTCTTTTTTTTTTTTACTTCAACCTACCCATTAGTGTGTATACTCACCAGCTATCCATCAAGTTGAAAAACAATGCTCAAGTAACTAACTTACTTCCTGTTAGGGGGAATGTAAGGACACTAGCTTGTAGCTGGGAATGATAGAACATTTAAACTGTTTCAGACACATGATTATTCTGTTGTGTATGAAGTTCATGCTTCATATAAACAAGGCAGGGTTAGATGAATTTTGTTGTATTGCAAGAGAATAAGTATTTTCTTGTACTTTTAGAGCTTGTGGATCATTACAGAGTATGTTTGATGTATCATTTCTTTGTAGTGTTTTGGATGTTGAATGAATATCTGGTCATGCTAAGTTGAAGGGTACAGATAGAACTACTTCTGCTATACATAACAACAATACACATTATCTCATCTAGTCTTAATATTTGCATTTATATTTTTATATCAGTCAAAAGTAGAGTTGAATTTTTTCACATGCAAGGGAAAGCACAATAAAATAAATCTAAAAAGTAAGTTTTTATGTAAGTTTTGAATTACACTAACTCAATCAACGATTATAACTGTAGAAGTCAAATGTAATTAATGTTGAAAGGTAGGTGTAAGTTAGCTCATTTGTAATGAACTAATTTCCCTCAAATGCTGAGGTTCATATCAGCCATACCTTTGAACCATGAGGAAAGTCCCCTTTCCAATCCATTTCCCTCAGAAACCCATGTAAAAGGGAGAACTTTAGAAGTGAACCAAGGGTTGAGTGATCCAGGAAAGGAGAATATCCAAGGAGTCAAAGGACACTGTAGCAAAATCATTTCAGGTTAACATGTAGATATGGAAGATATTTGCCCCCTTTTCAGTATATATATATACATTTTTTTCTTCTGTTTGAAGGCTGTATTACTCAGATATGTTCCATATGCAATCAGGTGAGAGTAAAAAAGAATTGGCCAAAGAGTGGTAAATCATGGCAAAGTATGCACTGTTTGTGTGTAACTTGTGGTTAATTGCATTTCCTGAAGCCAATTACCAACCTGTATCAACATTTATATGCTGCATGGCTTAAAAGTGGAACTGCACACATGAGTTCACTTGTTACATGTGCCAAAAAAGGAAAAAAATCTTATGTACTGTTGTGCTGCTCTGCTTACATATTATCTTGTTCTTTGATGGCTGCAAACCTAGGCATTAGAGACATTACAACTTTGGTGTTGACCTTCAGTGTTCAAAGACATGTTGTCTCTCGTTTTGCGTTAGAGATCATTTATATTCTTGTTTCTCATGTTACTGTAATTTCACCCCTTGACATGTCTGTCTTAGATTCTTCTTATGCTTCAATTTTCATGTTGCTCATCACTTAGTGTGGATGAATGTTTAGCTTGAGGAGAAAAAAAAGCTGAAATGTTGTATCTAGATATTGTAAAATAGAAGATGTACAATCTATTTCCAAGTTTGCCTGGAAAGAAATATATATATACTATGTGACACAGGTTAAACAGTAGACCAATAGCTTTAAAAAGATAATTTCTTGGATGATTTTTGGTCAGAAATTGGTATGAGCTTAAACTCATTTTGATCATATATCATTAAAAGTAATGGATTTGCCTTGCCATCAGAGTTACTAGAGGCCACTTGTATTATAGTCACAAATAATGCTGCTACAAATGTTTGCTTTGTTTCTTATGTGATGTAATTAATTTAATGTTTCTATAAATTTTGTAACTTCAAATTTGCATTGCCATATGTTTGGAATGCTATATATTTTCTTCATTTTGAATATTATTAGCATATGTGTTTTGTCTCTGTTATATTTTAGCTTTTAGTTGGGGGAGACATGAGTATAGTACTACTTAAGAATAATTTGAACATAGAGAGGGAAATAAAAAAGGTCTTTTAGTCAGGAATGATAAGGATATTTTTTACAGGCTAGTAATATACAGGAATACTTTTTTATGGAAATGTTTTAAAGTGAATTCATGTATTTATATTCTTTGTGAAAGAATGTAATGTGTGTAATGTAAGTTTAAATCTTCAGTTATTGTACATTAAGTGATTTATTGCTATGTTAGTATGAATTTAAAGAAAATTAATTTAAGACTCCAGCAGATTTATAATGACAAAAGGTAAAATTATATATATATTGTTATTCTAAGACCTACCCAAAGAAGCTGGTGAGATGCTACTGTAGTGTGTTGAATGTTTCCGTTAGTTTATTTATCATTGCCTTTTTATCTGCATTATATTTCATCTGTACATTTCATCTGTGGCAGTATTCTTCAAAATGCAGCTCAGTGTATGATCCATGAATGTCAGTGCTTTCTGCTAGATTAAAATATCTATTTCCTGTTCTGAAATATACAGATTTTATTGTAATTACTTTGAATGTTTTCTTTCAATTCTTCCTTACTGTAGAACTGAATCCACAGAATACAATGTATCTTGTGATTATGTAATGCCACAGAAATATTTGAAGGGCTAAGTACACCAATGTCACTTTCATTGCGTTATAGAGAATTAGTGTCAGCTGCGAGTTATCAGATTATTTTCAAGATTTCAGATAGGCAGATTCACTGATGAAACAATAATTTGTAAATAGTTAAACTGATAAATTCAGGTGTTTCATTTACTTAACGAAAGGTACATATGATACTGTTTTCCAGACTAATTAAGTTTGTTCATCAAATATACTAAGTCTAACTTGATCAAGGCAATACTTATTAAAGCAGAATTATTCCTTCACACAGTATTTTTCAATGTCATTATTATATTCTCATTTTGAGTTCAGACATGAGACACATACAGTATATCTCCATAACTAAGCACACGTGTGTGGGAGGGGGGGGGGGGTGCCAGGTCTTATAACCTCCGAGAGGTCAGCCACCTCAACTCCAGAGGTAACCGCTCGTCCAGCCGTAAGGACCAAGCGCCTACCCCGATAACTCGCCTGAAGTTAAGCCTCGGGCGGTCGCTCCGGGTGGACGCCACAACTGCCACTCCCGCCGACGCTTCCCCAAATAAAGGGGGTCGGCAGACTGTGGGTGCCCAACGTCCACGTATATACGCGCGCGCACACACACACACACACACACACACACACACACACACACACACACACACACACACACACACACACACACACACACACACACACACACACACACACACATATATACATACATTTGGTTAAATAGAAACTTCCATTATTCAAAGCTTCCTGTAAATCTTGAGCATAGAGTCTTGTCTCATTCTCAGTTTCAGTAGATAGCAGAAACTCGTCAACACAAAAACACCTTTTGCCTTATTGGACCTTACCCCACCTTCTTCCGAGTTCTTATGAAGCGCAAAGGCTCCCAAAGCTTGCCAAAAAGGTGCCTGGTGATCTGTTATGGGATAAATGCCTTGCAAAGTCACCCTGCCGCCACCAAAGGACATCACGATCCTGTTGATCTATCAAAACTTGGTGGAAAATGGCTTCAACGTCTGCAGACAGTGCCACCCTCCCCTCCCTGAAACGTATGAGTAATCCTAGGTCATTTATCATATCAGTTCCCCGCATAATCTGGCTATTTAGAGTAACCCCCTTGAACGTGGCTGCACAGTCAAAGACAACGCGTGTCTTCTCAGGCTTATTTGGGTTATACAATGGGTGATGTAGGAGATGCCATGTTTTTTTCAGGATGAGCCCCCTTTTCTAGAACGCTTTCACTATATCCCTTTTTCACAATTTCTTTCATTTCTTTTATATAACGTCTCATATGACCTTTATCACCGACCAACCTGGCCTTCAGCCCTGCTAATCTTCTAAGACCTATTGATAAGATGTCCAATCCGAGTCCTGGCATAAACTGCCGCCCCCTAGACCTTCGGATTTTCTATTTTTCTCATATACTTCACTTCATAATGGGTTAGATAATATTTTTTTTCATAACAAATGTATAGCACAGGTTGAATCCTATATTTTCTTATATCCTTTCTTTTTTCTTCATGGGTTCCTCATCAGTAACAACAAAAAAAAACTAATGACAGATTCCTCAAGAATCAACAATCATTTATAATCTGATCCTCATATATATTACTGCAGGACAAGGAAAAAAAACTCCATGTCCCCAGCCACAGGGAGAGTATATACCCAAAATTTAACTCCTCCTAGAACATTGAGCCGCCAGGATGAAAAAAACCTCTCCAGTACTCAGCAGTACAATGTGTGTTAGGGCGTTATAGGCTCTACCGTATATATACCAGGATCAGAATATAGGAAATCGTCAGACAAAGACAACACAAAAAACATGCCATATACTTGGTAACCTGCACTGCAAATTCAGGTACCATCTAATAACCTGAATAACCTGAAGGTCCTCGCCGAAGGATTCATCTATAGGTCTTCATAGCTTCCATCAGGATGCTGCTACAACATGGCCTATTCATATAGCGCTCTCGTATACCAGCCGATTAGTTATCAAGTAGAGATCACCATGCACTTGAATGTCATTGAGGCAGGATCCTCTTCTACCGATGAACATCACCCGAGGAGACAGGGATCTTCCATCAGTGGGCGGACATCAGTCATAATGGTAAGGCAGGAATAACTTTCCATAAACTCATCCCAACACTGAGTGGAGTCGTCGAGAGACAGTCATTCTGGCAATCTGGCAGGAACCTTTATTTTCCTCACCACATGAACGTTTATTTTCCTCTCTACATAAACACCTTTTATTTTCCTCACCACATAAACACCCTTCATTTTCCTCACCTCATGATCCTGTATTTCCCCCACTACATGAGGACCCTTTCTTTTCCACACCACATGAGGCTCCTTTATTTTCTTCACCACGCAAAGACCCTTTCTTTTCCTTACCCCTCTTACCCTTACCTCTCTCATTTTCCACACTACATGAGGACCCTTTTTCCTCACTACATGAGGACCCTTTATTTTCCTCACCACATGACCCTTTATATTCCTCACCTCACAAGATCCCTTTATTTTCCTCCCCACAGAAGTATCCTTTATTTTCCTCACCACATGAGGACCCTTTATTTTCCTTACCACGTGAGGACCATTTATAACCACATAAGTACCCTTTATTGTTCTCATCACATGAGGCTTCTTTATTTTTCCTCGCCACATGAGGCTCCTTTATTTTCCTCACCCCCTCTCTCATTTTCCTTATTACATGAAGACCCTTTATCTTGCTCACCTTTTGAGGACCCTCGCCTCGCCTCCCCCCCACATAAGCAGCTGTCACAGTGACTCCGCATCGCTCCCCCAACGCTTCCTGCAGCTGTCGTCCCGCGCCGCGTTCAGGTAGACGCTCGCTATTTATGCTCCAGGATGACCCAGGTTTACAGAGCTCAGCTCTTACCCTAAGGCTCGTCTCGCGTGTTCCCATCATTGTAATAAAGAGTCAAGCCGTTATTCAACCATTACCGCCCTGCTAGCCTCCGAGCCTTTTACATGCTGGTGGCAGGGTGGCCGTTGGCTCGCAGCACGGCGACCCATCGCTTTCACGATCGACCATGTCTTCAAAACCACATGAGCACACGTTTTGGGCCTCTTTATTTCTTTTCCCTCCCTTCTCCCATAAATGTGTTAAGCCGTAGGTGCAGTCACTCTCGCATTGGTTTTGTTGGGTAAGAGTGCTAAGTGACAGCATATGGCACGTTTTCACACTATTCGTCTGCCCTCAGCTCGCACGGTATGTAGTCAACAAACATGAGTATCGTTTATTGATCTGATATTTAATTAATTTCTCTCGTTAATAGATACTTATATTGTTCCAACTGTAACGAATTTAACGCGTTCGTGATTTTATCGTTATCATGAATGTCATTTCATTTATTTCTATTCTCATCGTGCGTTTCCCGTCCCGACCTGACCTGACCTCGCTTTCTCTTTCTTCTGGTCGGTCGGCATGTGTCGCTGTTCCCATTAATTTGGTTGTCTGAAATTGTTTGCACCATAGGAATACGCGTAGCATCGTTGCATTGCTCATTTGGTGATACGTTCTATCGGCGCTGGAACTGAGTTTGTAATGCGCATTTATATGCATTTTCATTTCGATCATAACGTTAGAATCTTCCCCATATCATAGTGCACAGGGATGCCTGATATAACCTGGTTGCGTGAATCGCCTAATAGATCTACGCTTCGATGTAACGATAGTAGGTACAGGTAAAACCGAAGTTATTCGTACGATCGGCAACTTTTGAGTCGACGTAACCCGTCCGTTAATTAATGTAAGACTAGGGTTTAAGCTAGAATCGTTATTCGCTTATTAGTCACACCCTTCTCACCCTCTAGAAGTCGCTGGCTTGTTTGGGTAAATCCCAAGCGATCGTGCGATTCGCGATAGTTACCTGTAGGGCACGTGATGAGCGCCCATCACAGATTAGCAGAAAAGAGCGAGTTATTTATAAATTTCCCGGCTCGTTCGCTTCATTCAGTACGGTTTTTGGCCATAGGAGACCCCCCGTTGATGAAGTCAGAGGCACAGCTAGACATGGCTACCTCGGGAGATTTGCTGACCCCAAGATTTGTTTGCGAGAAAGATTGCGAATATTTTTTCACGTCACCGTTCATAAGTGCGTAATTCTGTCGCATATCATTAAATGTTGAATTCAATATAGTAGTTGAAATAATTTCGTTTTAATTCCATCGCTAGTTTATTGCACTGTCGCTCACGCACACACACACACACACACACACACACACACACACACACACACACACACACACACACACACACACACACACACACACACACACACACACACACACACACAAACACACACACACACACACAAACACACACACACACACACAAACACACACACACACTCTCTCTCTCTCTCTCTCTCTCTCTCTCTCTCTCTCTCTCTCTCTCTCTCTCTCTCTCTCTCTCTCTCTCTCTCTCTCTCTCTCTCTCTCTCTCATCCACGCAGAACAAAACACACCGAAACCTTTACATTAATAGGTTTTGTTGCTGTCATAGTTTCAGGCGTAAAGATCTATGACGTATCTCTTTTGCCCGCGATTTTCAGTTGTGACTAGTGACCAGTACATGATTTCCTATTTTACATACATTCTTCTCTGTGTTACGACAATTGGTTCAAGTAAATCCTTGTGGACTCCAATTGTCGTTTCCCTTATCTACTCTCGTACCTATCAGAGACGGTTGGTAGTTCAATCCATGCCCTTGCGGATCGCTCTCCTATTTTCAGCTGTCACGGTGACCTCGCCTCGCTCTCCCCACACTTCCTGCAGTTGGCGTCCCGCGCCGCGTTCTGGTAGATGCTCGCTATTTATGCTCCAGGATGACCCAAGTTTACAGAGTTTGTGCCCAGCGCTCGTCGTGTCAAGGTCGCCCCCCAGCCTTCGGC